GTGCTTGTGAAACACTCAAATATATTCTGAACAATAGCAGAAATAATACAAGTAGAAACATGACTAATAAGAAAACACACATTGGATAGCACACGTATAACATATTTTACTAAGTATTCATTTGAAGAAATCATCACAGCCAACCATGAAGAAAAGTATGTTGAAACAACATATAATTTATTTATTTAAACACATATATATTGGTACAAAGAATGATTTTTTCTGGTTAGCGTTTTTTTAGCGACTTGATTTTCTACGGGATGGGGTTGCTAACCCCATGCCCAACCCTCCTCCTTTACCCGGGCTTGGGGCTGGCAGTAACCCCCAGAGGAGCTACAGGCGGAGTTTTCTTTCTCCTGGTCATCGACTGGATCATGAAGACGTCAACATCTGGAGGAAATCACGGGATACAGTGGACAGGCAGGATGCAGCTTGACGATTTAGACTTCGCGGATGATCTGGCTCTTCTATCACAAACGCAACAACAAATGCAGGAGAAAACGACCAGTGTAGCAGCAGCCTCAGCAGCAGTAGGTCTCAATATAAACAAAGAGAAAAGCAAGACTCTTCGATACAATACAATATGCACCAATCAAATTACACTTGACGGAGAAGCTTTGGAAGATGTGGAAACCTTTACATATCTGGGTAGCATCATTGATGAACACGGTGGATCAGATGCAGATGTGAGGGCGCGGATCGGCAAAGCAAGAGCAGCATACCTACAACTGAAAAGCATCTGGAGCTCAAAACAATTGTCAACCAACACCAAGGTTAGAATTTTCAATACAAATGTCAAGACAGTTCTACTGTATGGGGCGGAGACGTGGAGAACTACGAAAGCCATTATCCAGAAGATACAAGTGTTCACCAACAGCTGTCTACGCAAAATACTTCGGATCCGATGGCCAGACACTATCAGCAATAAGTTACTGTGGGAGAGAACAAACCAGATTCCAGCGGAGGAAGAAATCAGGAAGAAGCGCTGGAAGTGGATTGGGCACACCTTGAGGAAATCACCCGATTGCGTTACAAGACAAGCCCTCACATGGAATCCTGAAGGTCAACGGAGAAGAGGAAGACCAAAGAACACATTACGCCGAGAAATAGAGACAGACATGAGAAGAATGAACAAGAACTGGATAGAACTAAAAAAGGAAGCACAGGACAGAGTGGGTTGGAGAATGCTGGTCGGCGGCCTATGCTCCATTGGGAGTAACATGCGTAAGTCAAGTCAAGTCATATTGGTACAAAAGGGCACCAGGTACATATGCGCCACACAAAATAATGAAAGTAGGTAGATAAAGGATGAAAAGATAAGGCGGACTGAAATGTACAACCAGAAGACTCTTTCAGTTAGGAAAGTTAGAACCATTCTTTATGTAGAAAGTAAAAGAAGGTTGCAGCAGGATCGCCACTGGCTTCTATTCTGAGCCATATCTGATAAGGTTTCTAGCCACTGTGTTGCACCATCTCTCGGACCCCAGCCAGGGAGTCGTGAAGGACCAACAGAAGCTAGCCCTTTGCAGCTTTCTTTCATGCCACGACACCATGTCATACACTGACCTCCTCTCCGCTTTTTCCAACCAGTCCCAGGGTCCGCAAATAATGCACGACGTGGAAGCCTCCGGGACGACATTCGTAAAACATGTCCAAACCACCGAAGTCGGTGTTTCAAGATGGTGACACCAATTGAATTGTCGTCTCTGCGCCCGAACACACGACGCCGAACCTCTGCATTACTAACATGGTGTTGCCACTGGATGTCAGCAATCCTTCGGAGACAACGATGATCGAACACAGAGAGTCGTCTAACATCCTCAACTCGGAGAGGCCAGGTTTCACAAGCATAGAGAAAAACTGCTCTCACCAACGCGTTGTAGATCCGACCTTTTACAGCCAGACTAACATGACGAAGGCGCCAAAGATGGCCCAGATTGGCATAAGCCGCTCTGGCTTTCATTATACGTGCATCAATCTCATCACTCACGCCACCACCAGCACTTATATAGGTACCTAGATACACGAACTTCTCAACTACTTCAATTTGCTCACCATCTAGGCTGAGTACAGGGTGAGAATCCTGCCAGTCTTGTAGGAGTACTTTGCACTTCGAGGGTGCAAAGCACATGCCGTACCTGCGGACACTGATTGCCAACTGATTAAGTGCGGATTGCATGGCTTGAGCATTATCGCACAGTAAGACAATATCATCCGCATACTCGAGGTCGAGAAGTCGTTCTCCAGGCAACATATCCACACCGCCATTACTTACATCCATCAGAGCTGTTTCCAGGATGTCGTCGATAGCAAAGTTGAAGAGGAATGGTGAGATCGGGCAACCCTGCCTAACCCCACTGCTCAAATGGAACAAGGGAGAAAGGTGGTTGTATGCCCTCACTCTGCCTGAGGTGTTCGTATACAGGGCCTTTAAGATGTTAATGAACTTCTCAGGCACACCCTTCTTCAACAGACAATCCCAGAGAACAGTCCTGTCCAACGAATCGAAGGCCGCCCTGATATCAAGAAACACTACGATTGTTGGCCTGCGATAAGTATGACGGTGTTCAAACATTTGGTGGAGGGTGAAGATGTGATCAATGCATCCTCGACCAGAACGAAAGCCAGCCTGCTCCTTGCGAGTCAATCGTTCTCGGGTTTTAAACAACCTACGAAAAACGACAGAAGCCAATAGTTTGAACGCAATCGGAAGTAGACTTATCCCCTGATAGTTGTTACGGGAACAACGTGAACCTTTTTAAAGATAGGGACGACTATTGACTCATTCCATGATGTTGGAATACTTTCTTGCTCCCAAACCTTTGCAAGCAACACCGTCAGTTCCTTAACTAGAAAGTCACCACCATCTTTAAAAAGAGCCGGAGGTAGGTCATCTGGGCCAGGTGATTTGTAGCGCTCCAAGATTTGTAGTTCCTTGCGGACTTCCGCCTCGTTTGGTGGATCAGTCTTCACCGGCCATGGGGGGCAGGACAAACTGGTTGATGTTGCCGGAGCAGCAGGCCAGTTGAACTGCCCTTCGAAGAATTCCGTCCATCGTCCAAGACGTCGACAGATGTTAGTGATTGGCATCATGTCATCCTCGTAGATTGTTTCACTCACACCAGACTTCTTGCTGCCAGTGGCTCGGATGAGTTGGAAGAGCTTCCGGCAGTTACCAGATGCAGCTGCTGCTTCCATCTCATAAGCACGCTCCGACCACCAGGCTTCTCGATCCTTACGCAAGCTTTGCCCAATTTCATTACGTAACAGCCTTCGTTTGTGGTCAAACTCACGGTCATCCGGAGTAGATCGACGGGTTTCCATCAGTTGTAAGGAGCCAGAAGAAACCCAGTGCTTGTAAGCGGGACGTTTCGCGAAGCCGCAAGCGGCTTTACTCGCCATTCGCATGGCGTCGTGAAGAAGCAACCAATGCCCATCTATACTTTTCGGTGGTGTGGTAGCTAACCTAGAGGCTGGCTCCGCTCGATACTTACTTGCAACAGAAGTTGCAGCCAGTTTACTAACATCAATCCGTTGGTGGTGGTCAATCCTTCGGCCACTGAAAAGTAAGGTGAGATTGACGCAGACCAGGGCATGATCAGACTCTAGATAGGTACTCCAAAAGGAGCGGCAGTCTTGTACACAACCACGCCAGCGGTAGCTGATCGCGATGTGATCAATCTGAGTCCAGGCTTGGGATGCAGAGGGAGGACGCCAGGTGGCACACCGGCGATGACTGTGCCGGAAGTTAATGCTGGCCAGAAATAGGTTGTGGTCTGTGCACAGTTGCAGCAAACGGTCCCCGTTATCTGTCCTGCGACCAACAAGTCCTCATCGGCCACCTAAACGACTCTCTTCTGTGTCTAGACGCCCGACCTGTGCATTCAAGTCTCCGGCTAGTACTACAATATCTGTCGAACGCGCTTTCTGGAGAACTGTTAACTGATGGTAAAACTCATCCTTGATTGCATCCGGGCTGCAATCTGTCGGGGCACAGGCGGAGATGACGAAAAGACACCGTTTCTCACGCCGGTTTCTTCTCACTTTGATGGAACTCTCTAATCTAACAGCACATAACCGACTGTTAATGGGGATCCAATCGATTAGTGCTGCCTCAGCCCTAGCGCTTAGTGTAACACCAACGCCAGCAAGACCAGACGAAGATGACACAGGGTCCCCGGATAAGCGCACGTGAAACAAGCTTTTCGAAGCGACAGAAAGAGAGCGAATTTGTAGTACTTCACTAGAGTCTTGAATACGGGTCTCGGATAGACAGCAAACATCAACATTAAGACTTTCTAAAGACATAGCCATCCCTATCTGTTGTCCGATCTGCATTAGTGTGCGAACGTTGAAGGAAGCCAGCTTGAACGGCGTACGCGGTTTCAGAAAAACTGCTTCAGTATTCATAATCGGTGGAAGCATTCACTTTCAACCAGACAGTGACTGGAGATCGTTTAGATAGGACAGAGTTTCCACCATGGGCGAGCTACTGCATAAGTTGGAAAGGAAGGGTACACAATTTGGGAATAAAGGGAGTGAAAAAGCGACATAGTAAATAATAGTAATAATAATAATAGTAATAACAATGATAATAATAATAATAATGTAAATTGTCTTTCTTCTACTAGGAACGAGAGCAGTGTAGTTAGTGTAGTGCGTCATTTCATGTCATTTGTGTGTGGGCTGTGATACTGCCCGGGTGCCCACCAACCCGGTTAAAGCGCCAGACATTCGCTTTTCGTCCTCTCACTTTCGTAAACAACACCCCTGCCACGAGAAGGCAGTGAGTAGGACTTCCCTGGCAGAGGCTATATATTCGCTGGCCATGTGAGAGCATTTCGAGAGGGAAAGTAGACTCTACTCACTCTCGGCCGTACCAGGGCATTTGGGGGCAAAAACAACATATTTTTTTAAAAAACATATAAAAAATCAAGGAACTATAAAGAAATAGATTAAAGCAAAACTCATGGATGTAAACAGTAAATATAGATTGAGCTTCATTTTCCATCTACATTGCCTAACACCTCTGAAGCACGTTTACGAGAAGAACCCTCAAACACTGAACCGATTAAACCATGAGCAGTAGTTAACAAATTCACTGGTGTCGTCCCATCTGTAATTGAGGTACTTTGCAGGCCCAGAGCGTTCAACATGCGCAGACTATTATCTGATTCGGCTGTTGCCATTGCACGCAGTGTATCTGCACCTAATACATTCACCATTGAAATGAAACGCGATTTCTCGATTTCTGTTTCGTCTGCCTTATACTTTAGAGCTAATTCATTCTTTTCCTTGATATAGACGAATGCAGTTCGCTTACCGTGCAGCTGCCTCTTGCGAATTGGTCGTGATCTCAATGGCAAGTTGAACTGACTTCTGCAACGAATCACGAGTTCGTTGATCCACTGGCTCCACAGACTGTACATCCACGCTTGTAATATGCAGATTATTTTGAGGAAAAACTAATCGATCCCGAACCTTTCCAGCTTCATCCAATCCGAATACGGAAGCACGAATAATTCGTGATGAGTGCTAAGTAAAAATATAGTGGAAACGAGTATAATTCATCATAGTGTTTCCGCTTACATGGGGACTCATTAATCAGATTAAACCAAGTACCGGCTAGTATTGAAGTTTCTCTTGAGGCTCAAAATCAGTAACCAACACTTACAATCACAAAATCTAATTCACAAAACTACCATACCTTTCGTTAAAAAAATCTAGCTGGCAGTAGAGTTATAAAGCTCCCCACCGAAACAAAACTCGTATGATTACACTAATTTCGTACTCAAACACTGGTGTTGTTCAAGTATTGACTCAGGAATTCTGGGCAACTTCCGTAGCTTGCCATTGATTCCCATAAACAGAACACCGATTGCACCACTTTCTATTCTCATAGAAAGTCCGGATCTTCAAGATGTCCTCAGCTGACAACCATCACTGTAGTTGTGACCGATCTACCATCTACCGTCAATACATACCCATTAAGGTCGGAATAACACCTTGTTGACAAGTAAATAGTTTGAGCGATTTTCTAGAACTACTTCTCTCTTCAAACACAATTAATTGACCAATGCATATATGTGCTTGGTACTACGTTGTAGCTCAGTGACTGACTGACTCAATCTTTATTCCTTATCACCAAAATTTATCTTACTGATAACCGACCAGTTTATTTTCATTAAAGAATCTTCTTACAACTACATTCTATATTTGAAAAACAAGTACGGCGGTATGCATTGTGAATATTGAAGATGGAAAGAATAATACATCATTTAACAAACTTTCTGGGAATCACAAGGACTCTTCTCTCCATAGAATTCTACACAGTTCATGTGACACATTTTTTTAAAACTCGGTACACTTACCAGGATGGAGAAACAAAATTGTAGTCATTAACAAATAAGAGCTTTAACTCAACTACATAAATAACTGACTTATGTAATACTCATAGTCAACTTTAAGTTTCTTATTAAATAATACAACACCATCAAGCATGTTTAGTTCGAAGAAGAGATTAGATTTCAAGTAGTTTTTCTACTGGCTCTCTGACTTCTCCTTACTAGTCTGCATTGAACTATGATGTCTTGAACATTTCTGAACGAAGATTCCCAAACTCAGACACTACGCTTTTAAAAATGCACTGAACAACTGCCAGTAATCGGTGAAGAATTTAAACGACATTGCTCTTAACCAGTATCAGTACCACAGATTCTATAATACTTTAACTTTCTGTAGATTCTGAACAACGAACTATTCTAAATTTTCACGCAACCATTCTACTCGTCTTTCTTTTAGTTTCCTACTACACTTGGTATTACTATCTTTCCTCCAACTGCTTCTCGCTCGTTTATTTATTCTCACTGTGTGTATGTATTCGGTAGTAATTGAATAGACATTCATTCGCACTACATTATACGTTGTTACTGTCCGTCTTCCCACCTCCGAAAACATCAGTCAACTTTCTAAGATATGTTTACTAAAAGTTTCAGAATAGCTCCCGTCAACAACAACGTGCTAGCAAAGTGTATAAAGCAATTACGTTGTTGCACGAAGTTTGATCATATCATTCTCTCATCAGTAAGAGTAACAACCACACTACAAATTAACACCACTAATCAATCCTTCATCTAGATATCGCAGTAACTAGTAATGTCTCTAACAAAACGTATGCAGTCTCTAACACTAACTAAACCCTCCTTCACCTCAATGAATTTGCAACATAATCAGTGCAATGATCCAATAGAACCACTAGACTAGGAAATTACAAACCTTACCTTATGAAAATCATCGAATTGGACGGATGCAACTGTGCCACGAACACGAGATGCAATAGCTTTACACGCGTCTCCAACAAAATCAGGCACTGAGAATAACTTAGCAGCATCAGCTGCACTGCATGATGGAGAGACATCAAACACCCAATTGTACGATAGTTGCAAAGATAAACGAGCATGATCCGCAGTTTCAACAATTACAACATCTGTACAAAAGTCTGGACCTAACAGTAAACATAAACTCTTAATCACATTCGGTTTCTTTGGTTTCCCACCACTCAAGCTCAAACGAGTAAATTGTTCATCTGGTCCTAACATAGCTAAATTAGGTCCGAACTCGACTCTTGCCCTTTTATTTTTGTAGTCATAGATTTGAACTGCAGCATTGTGTGGAACGCGGAAAGTAACTACACGAGTTGGGTCAAGACGGTCAACTGAGTCTTGAATTGATCGAACTCCACGGTCAGCAAATGGGTCGATATTACTTTCCAGCAACTGAACAACCTCAGATGGGAGTTTCTTCTCCCATAATTCTTCATCTTGATTTAACATATAAGCTTCACCAATAACAGCGCGAACTTGTCCTGTTTGTGTATTACGAACATAGATCCCCTCATTACAATCGAGAGGAATAACATTACGACGGTCTATCACTTCCACTTCAACAGGAGGTATGTATTCGATGGGTCCACGTAACATCCATCGATCACCAGGACGACGTATCTAAAATCAAAACATTAAGTATGGTAGTATTCAACTTAGCAGGGCAAACGTCTCTAACAAATAATATCTCTTCAATACATTAACACTCACTGAAGAGAGGAAACAATCATAACGAAGGGGGAAATAATAAATGGGTTGACCTGAACTAGATCGAGTAAATAAATACAACAATAACATCTTGAAAAGGCTAGTTCAAATTAATTTCATGAATATTAAAACATCAAAATGACAGGACTGACATGTTAAATCTCCATCGTTCGTAAATATTCAATCACTAGACGAGCTCGAGAACTCTGCATGCTAAAGTTACTCGTCTTCGTATGTTGCGTTTCATAAACTACACCGCAAAACCAAACAATATACTAACAATAAAGATTTTTACTAATCAAATCTCATACTACTGAAAATGTAAGTTCCATGTGACTTAGCAACCAAGTACAAGTTCATATACTCAGCCTTGAGTCACAATGTTTTGTGAGAAGGCTGATTATATTACTTGACTGGTGGAATTCCAACTCAAATTCAAATGGTCGAATCTTTCTACATATGAGGCACAACTCTACAAACGTACACATTACCTTAATTATTAATGCTATGCTCTTATATGAATTGTCCTTTCTCCTAGTCAACCCTAGTATCGATTGAGTTAGCAAATTACGTGGAAGATATGCAAACAATTGTCAACACCAAGAACCGGAATCGAGTAAAGTGAACAGACCATAGTTTTACTGACACGCAACGCATGGAAAGTTAATATACACTTCCTCATTAACTATTAAAAACAACAAACCACAAATTCTGATTGGTGCTTAAACGTTCCTAGACTTATGACCACCTCAAATGAGGTAAATATTGGAACAACTAGACCTAGCTGACGACACAAATTAGAAACTTACACATTTCTTCTGCTTCACAGACTCCTCCTCAGATATAGCGTCCCCAAATATATCGTCGACAAACTGTTCTTTAGCTCGAAGAATAAGACCTTCGTCATTCTGCAAAATATAAGCATCTTGAACACCCCTTTCTAAACACTCTCCTGGTCTCAGAAAGAATGACTTTTCACCACGCACTAATAATTTTCTCCCTAACTGAGGAACACCGTTCTCATCCCAAGGGTTGACTACCACACAAAACTGATGGACACCTAGGATTGTAACTTCGACTTCTCTCACAAACTCCTCAAGTGCACTGCAAATGTGATACTCTGCATCTTCGTGTGTAATTAACCATTCTTCACCAGCTTTGCGATATTTCCCGAATTTGTCACAGTGAGACTTGACAGCTTTGACACATATCGCCCGCTGAAAATGAATAATAACGTTGACCAGATAAAATATTCAATTGTGAGACTGATATATAATTTTAGAAGCATTATGGCTATCCGTACAGCCACCAGTCGGTAATTTCACCTGTCTTGGCCTCACGCTGTCAAACAAAGATATGCACAAACCTATATATCATTTAGTCAAATACATAGCACATCACCTATGTAAAATACGAAGTGTCAACAAACAAAACACCAATTCTAATTTAAAGGGTATCTTCACTTGAAAGTAAGTTTGAAATTTGAGGTCATTGTTTTCATATAAACTTTGATGACCTTTGTCTATTTTTTAGAAGAACACCGACGAGCAGTAACTGTGTTCTACAACTTGAAATAAAATCCTGTGTACGATTGAGGGTATAGCAGACTTCATACGACTTAAACTTTGATTTTCAAAGCACTATCTTTTCCATTCCGTTTGGTTTGCGTGAAATCATTACCATAACCTTCTTACGCGAAGCGTATGAAACCCGATACCTGGAAATATTTATAGAATGTACCGATTACCACGACGTGCAATGCTGACTAGTATTGGAGATGATTGGAAGAGAGTTAGGGGAAGTCAACCCAAAACATGGCATCAGTGCATGAAGTCACTAACCTCTAGTCTGAGTCATGTTGGTAAATTTACACTACTTGGTTGGGGTCCGCGTGACTATTGTGACCAATGGTTGGAGACTCTGTGTGACATGGCTCAGAATCAATCACAATGGCGTAGGTGTATACACTTTCTGTCTTCCCTCAAACCTTGAAATTAAAATTGCTTCATATCTTTCTTCTTGTACTACATACTTATATACAATCTTTTTCACATATTACCACCATTAAATTAAATACTTCTATGAATTCGGTGTTGATCTTGTTGTGCTAATGAGGTGTGGCAACTTGGACCGATTTATATTTATACTTGGTCCTACGTTGTAGCTGACTGACTTATAGAATGTATATCCGCAAATACATTATGTCGATGGCTTTTAGATTTCTGTAATACAGTGTTCGATAAAGCATAGCAATAGAATCCAGGGTGTACGTTCCTTCCCATTCGGGACACAGATTAAAAACACTAGTGATTTAGTTCCAAAATAAAGCCAATCCGATCAGGAGGTATATATGCTATAGACAGTGACTTATTGCAGTCCTTAACATCAACAACGGGAAAACTCAAACTCATACAAATAAAAAAGAATAACATGTCATATTCATCATAAAATTCAGTAATATATATGCCGATTAACATAGAGCTTCAGAACTGTAAGACGCTATACCTTAATCATAGTATACACTTTATGATGGCGAAACAGTTAATATGTACTGTTTATTACAAATTACATTCATCAAAATATATGTGTGACTGTATATGGCAAAAAACTCCCTAGAGCAGCACATGTTATCTGTAACCCAATACAGACACATTTCTAGCTTGATTGAAATCTGTAAGCATAGAATCCCTAATTTCCTAGACAGTAGTTTCATAAGCAAACATACAGAAAGTTACTCTTCTGACCAGTAATCACGTCTACATAGGTTTACACCAACTAATTTTAGTCACTCATTACCATAACTTGGTGAAGCATAACAGAATATGGGCAATCAGGAAATAGCTAGTTACAAAAGGTTACCTAATAGTTCACGTACTCTGTCTGTTAGTGTAATCGCTTTGCGTTCGTCGACAATTTGCTCATAGACACCAGGGAGGTATGCACCTGGTGTCGTAACTAACCATCGCTCACCATAAACACGAGGAACACCACTTCGATCGACGCAATCTTTTGTGGCCTCCATTACAAGAGCAGAGTTGACAATAATTACTTTGGCTTGCTCGCATCTTACAATTTCAACCTCTTTTCTGGGGTAATAGGTACCTACAGAGAGAAACAAGAGTAATCCACACACAAGTTATACCAACTACATGAATAAAACAAGTTTATTTCAATATTTAAATGGAGTCTGTTTGTTTTCTTTTACCTACAAATAGCCAAAACAGATTACCAAAAGAGGTATGATAAACCCCTGCAAGTAATACATACGTGAACTTGCAGATATCGTTTTATACCCTTTACATGAATCTTCTACTCACAGTGCATTCTTGTGTTTCATTCGCTGCTTATAGCGACTAAAGTAATTATTTTGCTTAGTAAATTTACTAAAGCGTTGTGGAAAGTCACAAAAACTACAGAGACTCAATGTTTCATCAACAGTGTTATTTGATTCAATTCCATCGTACACATATTAACAACATGCCTCATATTCTTTTGAACGTGTGTATGAGGCTTATATGGAAAATGAACAATTTATGATGACAAGACTCACAGAAACATATTCGATTATCAATCCTACGTAAATTTAAAGTGAAGTATGTTCGCTGATTAAAATTTACCTACGATATGATAATAAAGCTGTCTTGTTTATAAAAGATACAACCACCAAACCCTTTGATACAGTTTGACCAATATTTCAGCTTGTGATTAAAAAATCTAAAGCTTAGCTATCAAGATTGAACTGTAAGAAATTTGAACAACAAAATAGTGATGCTTACGACGCACCTACATTTATAAGTGCACAGAGTGACTAGATGTAGTGTCTCCCCGCTTTATATGTAAACAAAAACTTTGATGGCAGCAAATTTAAAAGTCATATGAAGGCATGTACAACCCCTAATTTTATCACTTTATCATCACTCCAAATAAAAACAGACACAAGGATAACTAAACGCCTTTTACAAGGATACATACAACTTCATGAAAATTGTAAGCCGGTGTTATGTCCCGATAACAATAGTGAATGGTAACTTTGGGACCCATTTATATTTTTTATCGTATAATCGCTAAATAACTAAACTATTCGTACTCGTGTCCCCCTTACCATGAGCTTTATTTTGAACTATAAACTATTGTTCTTTGATTTACCATTCATGAATTACACCCAGTCTACTAATTACTGTTACCCTATTCACAGCCACATTTGGCTAAATCTTGTACAAATGTTATTTTCTATTTTATGGTACGATGTGGTCAGTTTGATTAGTATATAAACTCAGTATGTTTGAAATATAATGATTATTACCGCAGAGGCTGTTCTGGACTTAACTGGCTGAGCTAGGCAGAAACAGGACCGAAAAGTGTTGTAGACTGCTAGTACGGTTTTCGTGTGTCACTATCCCAATTGATAATTCGCTGCTCACTGACTGGCGGTCTTATCACGTTATACGTTAACAAGGCAGACACTCGGCCACAGGTTATAACAGTGGGATCTAACTACTATCTACAGCTACCAAGAATTCGTGATGCGATTTATCTACCTTGGAGAATTCATTGTGTGATAACCAAAGACCAATAAATGTACCAAAGTAATACTTCTCAAGATGTTTAATCTAATTGTCAAATTTAATAACCAAAAGTCCCCGAGTCCACAATAAATTACCAGGCAATTTAGGTTTCTTCTAATCTACAGGAAATGAATCTTTTCACTAGACACATGCCGTTTAACTTCGATGCGCAAAGGTGAGTAGAGTCCGGAAAAAAGCTGTACACCAGCGCTACTGTACACAATCAAATGTACCTTGTATGTTGCATGAGTAATTAGCTTAACATAAGACTGTACTATTTAGGCTCTTGATCCGAATACCTATGCGTCAATATGTAATCACAGTATGTGTGGAATATGCTACAAAAGCGGAGCATCTTACAGTTCTACATACAGAATGAACTGAAACTAAGTTACCTATTAAGTAATTAAGACAATTAGACACAGTTTTAAAACCTTTGGTCATACTTCCTCGTTGTGTTAAACATTCTAAACAGCGAAGACTTGCTTCTCGCAGTTTTCACATTCGCGACTATGGTAATGATATCAAGGTCGAATTTGTTTCCAAACCAACCACTGATCACTCGGGAAATAAAATACTTACCAGGTCCCTCAAACAACCATTCCTCTCCAGCTATTCGTTTGACGTTTCCATCTTCAAAATCCGAAACTGCTCGCAATCTGAGTGCTGAGTTTGGCAGAACAACAGGTAGAGGTCTGACGATATCCTTTAAAGTTTCACCCGGATACAATGGGAAAGGATCTTGGGCGAAACGGTACTCCTCGTCACCCATTCGAACTTTGACCTGTCCAAATTTGTCGACTACTGGAACACCGTCTTTGTCTGTTACAACGGGGTTTCGGATCACGCAGTACATCATCGTCGGAACGACAGTTAGTTCCTCAGGTCCGAGAACAATCCTAAGAAATGATAAGTCGATAATGAACGAACTCACTTTTCATCCTGTTGGCAAACATACGTCTTAGGTCCAACAACAAGTGAGGTGACATGAGTATTCAAGTTTAGCACATGGATATAATGTCTTGGACTGATTGAAATTATTGGTGAGTCTGGATTAGACTTCATCTTGAACCTGCAAACATTTTAGTTAAGGACACAATGATAATTACTTACCACTAAATCTGTGAAAATATCAAAGTCTAGTATGAGGTTGAAGATCACGACCTCCTGTATAGCATGAAAATACAAATAATAAAGTTTAAACACAAAAGTATTTGGCTAATGGCGTAGAAACAGTGAGAACTTTAGCCAGTCTTTTGACTGAATTTTACATCAACATATATCACTATGGTCAATCTGTACCTAAGCGTTTTACAAAACCATAATCGAGCCATCAGTGAAATCCGGCATTCGACTATATAGCCGGAAAACAACAGTTAAGTCTGACACCACAATCAAGACCAGAGGAGAGACTGAAATCTGGGTGAAATAGGTTTGAGTGGGTGAAAACAGAACATGAACAGTACCATCAACAACCTTACCTTAGTTGTCATGTATTTGGTCTTTCATTTTACTTGAGATCCGTGTGGCGTTCGTCGTGCAGTCAAATAACCAGTTCTTCAGTATAGCAAAGAACAGGCTACTAGATGTAAATCAACTCCCAAGTATAGTTGGGCCCCCAATGTTACTTTACGCTGATGTAAAAATTTGAGGAGAAATAATAGGTGACGCAGATGCATGCACACTTCAGGCAGATTTAAATATTGTAATTAGCTGCTCTAAAGAGTGGTTGATACCTTTCAACGCAGCAAAGTGCATCTATATGCACTTTGAGAATAAAAAGGTAAATAAGTGCAGCAGAGAGGATGTGCGTGTACCAGTGGTCCGGTCTTACAAGGGTTTCGGGGTGACAGTGAGTCATGATCCTAAGATCACGGTCCATTGCCGGGAGGTTGCAGAGAAGAGGTTTAAAACTCTATGGATTTCAAGATAGAAATTCAGCAAGTTAGTACTATGTTCACTACAGTATACGCCACCTTAGTGGAAAGTAAACTTGAAAATGGAGTTCAGACTGCAAGCCCTTGTTTAAAAGGTGACTCGGATATCCTGGAAAAAGTACCCGTGCAATTCCACAGCTCCGGAGTTCGCCATACAAAGAGCAGCCTTAAGAGCTAGACCTGTTTAGTCCATCCTACCGCCGATTAAAAGGTGATCTGACTGTGATGTATATAACAGTAAGAGATCATTGGATCTAATATATCCTCTCGGCGAGACTATAATTTACGGACTAGCCAATCAAACTTACAGTAACAGGTCTTGAATTTCCACACAAAACTAATTCATTCATTTGAATAAATAGAGTTTTGGTATTATGTAAACTTCATATCCTATTCGTAACCCTAAATATCAATTGTAAATATTTATCCTAATTCCTCACACTGGTTTATAACCGTCACCTAAACGTAGAATGTGGGTGAACATTCTCAAAAGTTTTTAGCGTCAATCAAATGCCGTCCATAAATTATGATTTCACTACCCTCTCTTTTCCTTGCCACTAGATCGGTACATCTAAGATGACATAGCAGACGAGCAGAAAAGCTAACAACAAACAAAATACCTATGGTATTCAGGTTTTTACACCAAGTCATCGATTCTTGGAACCTGTTACCCGAAGCACTTGTGTCGGCACCATCAATTGACTCATTCAAAAGAAGACTAGACAATCACAGAAGCACACTAGAAACAGAATAACATAGGCGGTAAGCCTCCAGTCCTTACTATCCAAATCTAAATCTGACTTATGATGGGTAAGCTATGTGATTTCCTCTTGCAGACCGCTTGCTAAGGCCATCTTCATGTTCAAACGTAAATCATATCATTAACAAAACAAGGGTATAATTTACAAAGAACTACCCTTACCACACGAAAGTCTGAAAGTCTGAAAGAACGACTGTCCTAGACGCAGTTTTAACCTTGAACGATAGCACAAGTAAACAAGAGAGCAAGAATACTCATTGAACACTTGTGAGTCGTATATGAACGTAAAACCATATTTCTCATCTACTTTCACATATATTTCGCTGATTTGCATGGAAAGACACAATCCACACATCTAGCTGAGTAAGCAATTAGTCGAGCTATTTAAATAGGCTTCGGATCTATTACACTGATGCCCAAAGCTTGCTCAGTAATCGATCAGAACTAGGTGCGCAAATTGACTCTACAGAGTAAAAGATAATCGCAGTCAAAGAAACTTGGCCGAAGCAAACTATGGATTGTACGGAACTTGATCTCCATGGTTTTTACGTTGGTGAGGGCTGACAGAATACAAAAGCGTAAAGGTGGGGAAGTAGCACTATACTTTGGAAATGCTGTGCCGTTTGACATTATCAACAGTGTACCCCATGAGAGTGATACGTGTAAATTGGTTAGTTGCCTCTTGAAATGCAAGGGACAAGAGCTACTGTCTGGTTTGGTCTATCGCAGTCAAAGTTGTGAGGTAAATGAGGTTCTGCTAAGCAGTCACAATTCTAGGTCACAATGTGGTCGATATCTAATCTTAGGGGACGTAAATACACCCATCATAAACTGAAAATCTGGGAAGTGAATCGTCAGTTAATTCCTTAAGGCAGGAACTAGACTATGCGGCTATCACTTGTCCCCTAGTACAACAGTCGAAACAAGCAACTACGTACGACCCGGTTTAGATCATAAATTGACTCACTATGAGGACGACGTTGCGAACCTCGATTGTATGCCACCTCTAGGTAAAAGTGATCATGCCGTTTTTACCTTTGACTTCCATATAACTGTCAATCACGAGCACGCGTCAGCTCAATCCGAACCTAATGTCTGTAATGCAAACGTACAAAACATCATACACTCAGCATCGTCAGCAGATTGGACAATAGACCCAGAGTCCTCGGTCGAAACGGCTTGAGACGAATTTCGAAATTTATACTTAAAATTTACCTCCCCCACATCCCTTAGACTGCACCTAGGAGGCCGAGAAACTCCCCACCATGGTTCAGTAGGGAGGTTCGCATCCTTCTCCGTGTGACAGGGAAAATGTGGGATAGACTGAGGCTACTGGAAACTGATGAGACAAAAGCTCATTATCGAAAAGCTCAAAATACCTGTGTCTTGATCCTCCGTAAGTCTAGAAAGTTGTAAGAAGAGAAAATTGTTCAGGAATCCATAAAATGTCCTAAACACTTGTATTCCTACATAAACGAATGGACAAAAAGAAAATGAAATATTCCTATGGGGAGACAGTACTGCTTCATCATTAGTGGAGGATGACTTTGGTAATTCTGAAGTATTCTCAAACTATTTTAGCAATGTATATATCATAGAAACACCCTACTTACAAGTTCATGCGAATCCCCACATACAAGCACTTGACAGCGTGACCATTAATGAACTTGATATCTTTGGTCTCTAAATGAGCTTCACATAGGCAAATCCACAGGGCCCGATGAATTGCATCTCAGGCTACTAAAGGAATTGTGTAACTTTGCTGTTAACCCTTGAAGTATTTGCTTTAATCCATCCGTAACCCAGAGTCGTTTGCCAAAAGAATGGAAGAACGCTATAGTAAGTCCTGTCTTCAAAACAGGTACGAAACATAAACCTGATGATTACCGACCAATTAACCTGACTGTATGGTTGTTAAAATCTTGGATGGAGCTGTTTAAGTACCTCGATGAAAACCTGATACTTTCAGAGAAGCAGCATAGTTTTGGAACAGGTTATTCTTGCCTCACTAATTTATTAGTCGTTCGTAAAGGCTGGTGCACTCTTTAGGACAAAAAGTTACCTGTTGATGCAGACTAAATCGATTTCAGCAAAGCTTTTGACAAAGTTCCGCACAACCGGCTGTTATATAAGCTAAGAAATGTCGGTATTGGAGGCAATCTATTGATGTGGATAAAAGACTTACTAGTTGGGCGTCAATAAAGTGTACGGGTGAACTCAAAGTTATCTAGCTGAGAAACTGTGCTTAGTGGAGTCCCCCAGGATACAATTTTGGGGCTAGTGTTATCCCCCTTGTATGTAAATGACCTTCATCGTATACTATCATTATTGCTCTTGCCATATGTCAAGATGTGGATAGCGATACAAAGTAAGGGTGATAATTAAGATTTTCATAATTACCTGGAGAAATCATGTGAATGATCTCAAACTTGGCAGTTGCCAATAAATACTTCCAAGTGTATTGTGATGCATATCAGCCATTAGGGTACAGATACATACACGATGAATAACACTGACCTATTTGTTGTCCAGACGCATGATGACTTAGGAGTCATCGTTGGCGAAAACTTATAGACCATTGCACACTGCCATTCAATAGACGCCAAAGGTCATAAAACTTTAAGGTTAATACGTAGGGCTTTCAGTCGACGCTAAAACATTTTTCACTTTGTATACAGTGTTTGCGCGTCCTAAACTTGATTGCTGCATACAAGCGGCTAGTCCCTATTTAAAAAAAGACAGTGAGCTTCTGGAAAAGGTTCAGAGGACAGCAAGTAAACTGATTCATGGAATAGCGAAGCTCCCGCATGATACTCGGCTTGCCAACCTAAACCTCTCCCTGTTGTCAAATCGAAGAACCAGAGGTGACTTCATTACAGTTTTCAAATTGCTCAGTAATAGGTTTACACTTGATATGAATTCATTTTTCTTGTCTTCCAGAACAGAAAATTCACGAGAACACTCCAAAAACGTTCACAAGACCAGGACAAATTACTTGTCTGCCAACTTTCCCATCGAATCATAATAATAATATATTCTGAAAATAATATTTACAGAATTCACACCAGTTAATACGCATGATCAGATTGATATAAAAAGCAACATTTAATGTAGAGAACAAACATGAAATATAAGATTGTTTTATGTTTGGTGGTTCAGTAATTGATAACTAGTTCATATATGGAATATATCACGGCAAGCCAATGCAAAATCAGAGAACTTTTAATGTTTTATTGAGTGGTTAGCCAGATGAACTCCGCCTGTAGCTCTTCTAGAGTTACTGCCGGTCCCAAGCCCGGGTGAAGGAGGAGGGTTGGGCATGGGGTTAGCGACCCCACCCCGTAGAAAACCTAACTCGCTAAAAAACG